TGTGTGCGTGCGAGTGCGTCGTGGTGTGTGTGTGAGTGTGTGCTGTGTGTTGTGTGTGTGTGCGTGTGTTGAATTCATGAGTGTCGTGTAGCTGAGGTGAGGTGTGTGTGTGTGTTGGTGTCGGTGTGTGTGTGTGTGTGTGTTGCGTGTGTTGGGCATGCGGTGCGTCGATCCGTGCGGCGGAACGTGGAGAAGGCGCGTCATTTAGACGGCCGCCCCTTGTGACGGTGAGCGCGAGACGTGCGCCGCGCCGCGTCGGCCGTCTGCTTGCTTCTTAGCCGCGGTTAATACCTGCCAACATAATGAATACTATGAGTCCACGCACGAGTGAGGATTGATGAGAGAATGTTAGATGGGACAGAAGCAGGGAAGAGAGAGGCAGAGATAGAGAGAGAGAGAGAGAGAGGGAGAGGGAGAGAGACGCGAGAACGGACATGGGCAGTGTGCCGATCATGAGAACAGCTTGCGTCTCAGCTGCTGCTACTACTGACTGCTGCCGCGCTGCGTGTTGTTGTTTTTGCTGGCTGCCTACTGCTGCTGCTGCTGTTGTTGTTGTTGCTTGCTTGCCTCCTACTGGTGCTGTTGCTGGGCTACTGCCTGCTGCTGCCGCCGCTGCCGTAAACAATTTTTTTCATCTCATCGAGAGGGTAGAGATCATGGATCTGTCTCTATATGATGACTGCACCCCCATGCAGGCTCATGCTGCGTGTGCAGCCCAATTCTATGCGTGCAGCCCCACGTGAACATGTTGAGCAGCCGAGATTTCACGTCGCCGACACTTTGTATAGGCAATGGTGCTCACCTGATTGCTCACGGGTGCGACGGGCCGATCAAACACAGCAACAAAAAAAGCCGATCAAGTTAATCAGATCAACCCATAGTTGAGCCGTACTGCAAATGTTTAAGACTGTCTAGCTTCACTGCACTCGTTGATAACCAATATGTCATTGAGAAACTCCTTCCAACGCCTAGTCAGACGATCTAGCCGATGCTCAACCACTTGCCATTCTATTTCATAATACTCCCAAAAATCGCAGTGCAGCACGATCACCAAGACGGGATGCTACCGCCATGCATAAACCGCCACAAACATTACGCACTGGAACTACCCACTTAACATGGACGCACGAACATACCCCACGAACATACGCACGAACATTACTTCACGAACATACGCACGAAACATACGCTCGAGACATTGACGTCACGAACATTACGCACGGACATACGCCACGAACATACCACGAACGATTACGCAACGAACATACCCACAACATGACGCACGAACATACCCAGAAACATACGCACGAACATACGCACGCAACATACCACGAAGCATACCCACGAAACATACTCACGAAACATACGCACGGACATACGCACGAACATACCCACGAACATACGCCAACGAACATCACGCACGGACTACGCACGAACATACCCACGACATACACACGAACATACGCACGACATACCCACGAACATACCCACGAACATACGCACGAACATACGCACGAACATACGCACGAACTACCCACGCAACATAGGCACGAACATACCCAACAACGTACGCACGAACATACCACAACCATACCCACGAACATACGCACGAACATACCCGACGAACATACAGCGAACATACGCGACGAACATACGCACGAACATACCCACGAACATCCACGAACATTTAGCCCACCGAAACATACCCGACCGAACAACGCACGAACATTACCCGACGAACAATCGCACGAAGATACCACGAACATGCGACGAACATACGCGGGACGAAGCATACCACGAACATCGCCGACGGAACATACCACGGAACATACATAGAACATAGCACGAAGATGCACGCACGACATTAGCCGGACCAAACGTACCGACACTATCAAAACACGCGACGCTTTTTTGATATTTTTTATTTTTTTACTTTTCCGCAGCATCATGAAGTCGATCGAGTTTCCGGGCGACAGTTCGTCGTCCGGACGCTCGTCTGTCGTCGCCGTCCTGTCCGGCGTCGGTTGGCGCGCGCCAGCGAGGGCCGAAGTCGCTCGAGCGTGTCTGGGCTGCCTGGAGAAGAATCGCGCCGCTGCACTCGGAGAACACGAGTCTGAAGGTCGCCAACGCTGCACCTTGCCGGTCGACAGTGCGCCTACCAGCGCCCCGTATGAGCCCGCACCCGGCAGATAGATGCGATATTGAATATGACTACTAGGCACTTAGGATATGACTACTAGGACTTAAAAAAAAAACCTAAACCTAACGGCGTACCCTAACCGTGAACCCTAGACCTAAGAAAAAAAATTTAAATTAAATTAAATGTGCCTAGTAGCATCAATCATTATCGCATCTTTCTTGCCAAGCCGCGTTAGCCGCTGGCCGCCACACTGGTAGTTTTTACTCAAGTAAAATGTCGCATATGCGTCAAAAGTACTGCGCCGATGAATCCGACGGCACACGTTGGGTATGTTTTGACGCAGTGCATCATTTTTACTTTGAGTAAAATGGCTCAGTGTTGCGCCGGAAATCGCGTAGCTGCCCGTTTGCCTGCAAGTCCGGGGGGCGGTCTTACCTGTGTGGGGGTGGGGGGGGGGAGAGCACCTGTGTGTGCGTGGAATGTTTGGCTATGTCGTGCGCGTTGTGTGAGTGTTGGTGCATGTGTGTGTGTGTTGCGTGTAGCGTGTGTGTGCTGTGTGTGTGTGTGGCTGTGTGCGCTCCGTGTTTGGATAGTGTTGTGCGCGTGTGTTTTGCTTGTGTGTGTGTGTGTGTGTGTGTGTGTTGTTGTTTGTGTGTGTGCGCGTGTGTATGTGTGTTATGTGTGTGTGTGTGTGTGCCGTGTGTGTGTGTGTGCGTCGTCGCGCGCGCGCGCGCGCGTGTGTGTGGTGTGTGTGTGTGTGTGTGTGTCGTAGCGCGCGCGCGCGTGTGTGTGTGTGTGGTTGTGAGTGTGCGTGTGCGGCTGTGGCGTGATGTCTGTGTGCCGCGCCGCGCGCGTGGTGTGTGTGTGTGCGTGCGCAGCGTGTGTGCGTCGCTGCGCGCGTGTGTGTGTGTGTGATGAGTGTGCGTGTCCGTGTGTGTATGTGATGTTGTGCGCGCGCTGGCGTGTCGGCGTGCCGTGGTGTGTGTGTGTGTGTGTGTGTGTGTGTTTGTGTGTCTGTGTGTGTGTGTGTGTGTCCGTGTGTGTGTGGGTGTGGGTGTCAGTGTACCTGTGTTAATGTCCGCGCACTTGTGTGAGTGTGATCGCACCTTTGTGCGTCGGCTTTACCTGTACGTGCGTCAGCGTAACTGGCTATGCGACTAATATGGAGTGTTTGATGAGCTGTATGCGTCTATCTGGATAGTCCACGCCGTACCTGTATGAAACGTGGCGTGTGGCAGTGCGGTAGCTCCTATAATAGATTTAAACGCACAATGGATGTGTCTAGTCATTGCTCGCGTTAGTTATATGCGTTATTTAAGTGTCGCTATCGCATGACTGTGGGCAGATGTAGGTACATACTTAGAATATTGCTTGAAACCGATCATGACAGGTCGTCATCATCAGCTAATCTGTAAGCGTGGCGAGAAGGCAGATGTTTGCTGCTCGGTGGGTGCATGTAAGAGCAGAAATAAAGCCATCGATGAGAGCCAGCATCAAGCAAAGGTTATTGTCACACGGGGTGTGTATAAACACCGAGACGCGTGCGACATGTAAAACCAGTCTGTGAGGTGCTGCTAGTAAAACCAGAGTTTTTTTATATGCTGCTGGTCAAACTGAAGTCTTTTTACTGTGCTACCGGAAAATCCAGCGTTTTTTGTTTTGATCAGTTTGACATCGCTACTGTTAAAATCTGAAAACGTATCTTTGCCGCGAAACCAATAAAACTAGAATTTTCGACGTGGTACCTGTAAAAGCAGAGACCGCCAGACGCGGTGCTCGGAGAAACAGCCGCAGGAGCGAGGGAAAGATTACCAAACAAAAGAACTTTGTTCGAGAGGGGCATGTGGTGCCCTGTAAAGTGCAGAGACGGCCAGTCACGCCCCTCCCTCCCCTCCTCTCTCTCTACGTCCTGCCACGATACTTGTCTGCTTGCCTCCTCTTCGGTGCACGCCCCCGCGACGCGCGCTGCTGCTGCTGCTGCTGCTGCTGCTGCTGCTGCTGCTGCTGCTGCTGCTGCTGCTGCTGCTGCCGACCCCGGTAACCTCAGCAAGAAAGGTGTAGAACGTGTCGTGTTGTCGTGTGTTGATGTCGTAACAAACATTCGATGTCTGTGTTGTGAGTAGCGAGTGCATGCGTGCGCGCGTGCGTGCGTGCGTGTGCGTGTGTGCATGTATTCGTGCGTGTGTGTGCATATGTGTGTGTGTGTGTGCGTGCGCATGTGTGCGTGCGCGTGTGTGCATGTGCGCGTGCGTGCGCTTGCGTGCATGTGCGCGCGCGTGCGCTTGTGTGCATGTGCGTGTGCGTGTGCGTGTTAGTGTGTGCGTGTGTGCGTGACTGCCGTGTGTTCCATCCACCTCTCCCCCTGCCGTCGTGCCTCTCCTATCTGTACATCGTCGTCTATCGTGTGTGTCTTGTGTCGACTCCGCGCGTGACGGGCCGTGCGTCCTGCCCGCTCGTCTAACGGCAACGTTTTCACACCTTTCTTGCAGGGGCGTTGCAGAGGCTGCCTCTGTCACTCGGGCTGCCCTACCCTCATCCTCACATAACAAACAACGTCGACGCGTTCACGTCGCTGCTCGGCCAGGAGATAGTCTCGTCCTACCACCACCACGCGGCCGCCGTCGCCGCCGCCACGCAGCAGCAGCAGCAGCAGCAGCAGCAGCAGCAGCAGCAGCAGCAGCAACGATACTCCGCCACGACCTCCCCGAGCGACTCGCCGAACATTCCCACCGGCCTGCAGAACGGCACCGCGGCGGCGGCGGCGGCGGCGCGGACAAGCGAGCAGGCGTCGCCGCGAGAGGGCGCCGCGCGCGCCGACGCGACGGCGGGCGACGCGAAACCTTCGCCGGGGGCGCCACCGCCGCCGCCGCTGCGGCTGAGCCTGGAGGCGGTGTGCAGCGCGGAGTCGCTCGACACGGCGGAGGTGTCGCAGCGCGTGCGCGAGCTGCTGTCGTTGCACAACATCGGGCAGCGGCTGTTCGCAAAGTCCGTGCTCGGGCTGTCGCAGGGCACCGTCAGCGAGCTGCTCTCGAAGCCCAAGTGCTGGGAGAAGCTGACGGAGAAGGGCCGCGAGTCCTACCGCAAGATGCACTCGTGGGCGTGCAGTGAGGCGAACATCATACTGCTCAAGTCGCTGACGCCGAAGAAAGGTAGGTGGCGCCAGGTGCGGGGGTCTCCTCGCTACGCGCGCGCGCATAGCGATAAGTACTTTGTACGTGTCGATGCTTCATTTGTTAGCTGGTTAGTTTATTAATTAAGCTAATTTTTACGTTTCGTTTACGGTTAATTTAGTGATATTTTCATTATATTTTATCATGTCATGTACGTTATATTTATCATTATTTTATGTTTATAATATTTATGTTTTATCAGAAGTAAAGTAATACTGTAATATGTAAGTAATACTGTGTAACAATGCCTAATTTCTTATGCCTCTTACATATATAAATACTTTATTACCTATTACTGGTATTATTACAGTAATATAATATTACTGTTATAGTTTATCGTTAGTAATGGTTACATCGTTTGTCGACGTTTCCGCGGCAACGAGTTTGTTGTCGTGGTAACCGTGCGGGCGTCATCGCTCACACGCACGTTTTTCGCTCGCACGCAGCTAAGGAGCTGAGTCCGCCGGCCGCTCAGAAGGATGACTCAGCGACGGAGGAACGGATAGCACAGATACTCAACGATGCTCAGAGACAGATGAAGGTCAGTGCTGCTGCTGCCCCCTGGTGTTCCTCACTCTGCTTGCTCGTGCTGCCCTCTGGTGTTCCTCTGCTTACTCGTGCTGCACCCTGGTGTTCCTCACTCTGCTTGCTCGCGATGCCGTCTCGTGTTACTCGCTGCCCCGCACTCGCTTCTCCCCGTTAGTGTTCCTTGCTTTGCTCTTATGCTGCCACCTGGTGTTCCTTGCTCTCGCGATGCTCTCTCGTGTTACTCGCTGCCCCGCACTCGCTTCTCCCCGTTAGTGTTACTTGCTTTGCTCTTATGCTGCCACCTGGTGTTCCTTGCTCTCGCGATGCTCTCTCGTGTTACTCGCTGCCCCGCACTCGCTTCTCCCCGTTAGTGTTACTTGCTTTGCTCTTATGCTGCCACCTGGTGTTCCTTGCTCTCGCGATGCTCTCTCGTGTTACTCGCTGCCCCGCACTCGCTTCTCCCCGTTAGTGTTACTTGCTTTGCTCTTATGCTGCCACCTGGTGTTCCTTGCTCTCGCGATGCTCTCTCGTGTTACTCGCTGCCCCGCACTCACTTCTGTCCCCCTAGTGTTACAATCTGAAATTACCGCTGTGTCGCGTCGCAAGATCTTTGTACACCGCTGAACGCCCCGAGTGTTGGATGAAATATGTCAAATGATTTCTATATCATCTCTCTCTGTCTCTCTCTCTCTCTCTCTCTCTCTCTCTCTCTCTCTCTCTCTCTCTCTCTCTCTC